AACAAAATTGGAAGTGTTACGTACACATTCATAATTATTCAAATGTATGTACAGTAGGCCCTCGCTTTACACGGCACTCTGGATACACGGTTCCATACTACACGGAGCTAAAAATCCGACATTCCGACTACACGGACTTCTTATTACGTATTTGGTCAACAGCCCATATTCGTTGTGCAAAGAGTATGATGTAAATTTTGTTATCGACTTTTATCTTTTAGACTGCCTGATTGTTAATAGCCGCCTAAGAACACGTTTGAGCTACTACTGCGTCGCGCCAATTTTTGAATAAGGTGTCAATGTCCTACATGTCATTTCGTCCGTATTTCTCCTATTCAAGTTGTATTTCTTGGTCTCCATACAACGCGATAAAAATGGTGCGATTTGTACCAATCTGAGTCTCATAACACGGTTTCCCATGCAATCTGTGTAAGGTTCCATAGAACGCACTACGAATACCTGAATTGTATGGTAAATACGAGTTTCTTATAGCACGGTTTCCTATACTGCACGGTACGCACTTGGCGCGTAAAGCGAGGGTTTACTGTATATACATTTCTTAGTACCAATTTTATATATTGAAATGTTCAATTAAAAAATGTTTAATTTTTTCTCATTATATGTTTTTCACAACATTTTTGTAATTTTGTTAGAATATATTTTTTGCGCGTATAATTTGTTCTCATTTCATTTAGTCAAATTAATCAGATTTATTTCTTCTGTATCAGATATCTTATCTAAAATTAAACATAAGGGTAAATTTACGTGCTACGGTTCGCGGCGACATCTATGATATGCTGAAAGATTTAAAATCGATGTAATTTCAAAGCGGCCGTGTTTGCCATCTATTTATACTTGTTTATCTATGGGAATAATCATCACCACTTGAAGAATTTCTAAACCTCAATTCTCATTGTCTAGGTCGTTTATTTGAAACTTGGGAAGTTTTTTGCATCTTGCCGTAAGGCAAAAGCAATTTGCAACTAGTTAAACCGTATTTATTGTAAGTCGATAATATTTTAGAATGTTTGTTCAGATCAAAGCTCCTCCAGAGCAGAGATTCATTAAAACAAATAATTATGAAAAAACGGTTTGACCGATCTTTACAAAAAACTAATCAGATAGACTCCAAACTGATATGTTTCGAACAGTTTTTAACTTCCGTTGGGCAAGTTATAGTAATCTCAAAAACATCGAAAATGAAAATTTTTATATATCTTTACGTTTCAAAACCTTCTGAACATTTTGGCATATCTTAGAAAAAAATGGATGTATGTGTGTGTGTGTATGTGTATGTGCGTGTATGTTCGGATACAAATTTTCGTCGACGATTTCGGGAATACGGATGAAGCGATTTGAATAATTCAAAAAACATTCGATTCGTATTGACAAGGAGACGTGCTGATTAGTTTTTGGCAAGGTAGGTCTAGCCGTTCCGAAGATATGGGGCAAAAAGTGTCAAAAACGGTAACTCGGTTTTTAAGAGAACGGAGCGTCCGATTTGAATAATTCATAAAACATTTTACTTGTATTAACAAGATGAAGATCTGATCAAATTTTCATGAAGGTAGGTCTAGCGATTTCGGAGATCTAGTAAAAAATGTAAAAAAATGCCATTTGGCGGTCAAAAATGATCATCAGACATAATGCATATCAAATTATCAGATATTTTATAGAGATTTTGACAATAAGTATAAATTTTGTTTACATTCCTATGGGTTCCGTACCAGTGTTTATCCGTTAGATGGCGACGAGGCGCTTACGCGCTTTGATATTTTGTCTCTATACAGTTAAGCAGTACGATTTCTTTGAAAAAAAGTTCAGAATATCCAAAATATTTCAAAATAAATTTTTCTTCAAAAAGTCTTTATTTTTCAAAAAAAATAAGTTTTTGTCAAAAGTTTATAGTTTCTCAAAAATTATTTTTTTCAGAGCAATTTTTTTTCAAAAATGTTAATCTTTTTAAAAAAAATAATTTTTGGTACGGGAAGTTCCAGCAATTTGCCTTAAGGCACGATGCCATGCGCCCCACTAGTTGAATTAGGTATACCTAAATCGGTCCAGATTTTTTTTGACGAAAACGTGAATAAAAAAAATTGCACTTATCTCATAATTATAGAGAAGTGGCTGGGATGATCGGCGCGCAAAACTACTAAACGTCAATTGAATCGAATAGCTTTTAAATTTTATAAATTGCTGCAGCCGTTCTTGGAAACAGCGACAAAAGATCAAATTATTGCTCAAATATTTTTTTTAAATCTTGATGTCCAAAGATTCATATTGACTTGAAGCATCGATAAAATATAAAATTAGCAAATGGAATTATCTGATTCTATTTCTATAATTTTGACTTACCTCCGCTTTCATTTCCAACAAATGAACCTTGTTCTGAATTTTGTGGTTTTGCAGAACGTCTGTCCATGAGAGAATCATCATCGATTTCTGATTCTTGAGATGAATTGTGATCTTTTCTAAAATAATTAATTATATATATATAAATATAAATGTTTGTTTAGAATTTTTAATTTTAAAATTGATTTGAATTAAAAAAAATATATTTTTTGCATGTTCAAAAAAATAAAACATTTTTAAATTTTGAAATAAAAATATTTTTTGTTGCTTTTCCCAAACACTAATCATTTGTTCACAAGTAAGATGTTTTTTGAATCATTCGAATCGGATGCTTTGTTGTCCTAAAAACTGTCAATTTTACTTTTATCTCTCATTATCTTTGAAACGGCTGGGCCTGTCTTTGCTAAAAATTAATCACTTCTTCTTCTCATCAATACGAATTGAATGTTTTAAGAATCATTCAAATCGGATGCCATGTTCTCTCAAATAATTAATTTCCATTTTCTGCAATCTTTACTTTGTATCTCGTAAACGGCTGGACCGACTTTTCCCAACCAAAAACTAATCAGCACATCTCCCTATCAATAGGAATCGATTGCTATTTGAATTATTAAAAATCAGTTGAGCGGTACCTACTCCCGAAAACGTCGACAAAATATTGTATCCAAACATACATATACACACGCACGCACACACACGCACATATATCCATTTTTTTTGAGGTATGCAAAAATGTTCAGAAACCCTGAAACAGAAAGATATGCAAAAACTCTCAATTTTGAATTATTTTTTGGATTTCAACATTATTTTTGGACGGTTACAATAACTTACCCTGCGGGAAGTTAATAATTCTTTCTAAAAATAACTTTTATAAAAATAAATAAAAACTACAAAAAGTTTAAGAATGAGTCGAAGATGAATGCGCGCGATTTTTGACTTGTATGTAAGACTTTCTATTATTATATTGTCTAGGTTCTATAACCATTTTGCAATGTACGAGAAGTAATTATTTTTAAACCTGCGCAATATATTGTTGTTCTGCATCATCATCAGCAATAATTCATCATCTTGATAAGAATCATCAGTGGATTGTACTGAACTGACGGTCGATTCAGAATTTTGCATCAGACGAGACTGTCCGATCGACAAATCTTCTCCACTTTTATCAGAATTGCTGTCAGATCTAAAAGTATAATAAAAAAATTAAATTTATTGAAGCTACAATTAATTTTTATTAGAAAACTAGTGGGGCGCATGGCGCATGGCATCGTGCCTTAAGGCAAATTGCTGGAACTTCTCGTACCGTAATTAAACATAAAAGGAATGAAAATAATCAACAATTGTTTTGAAGAATTTCAAATAGATTATTCATTATAAATACAAACTGTAAATTTATAAGTGCTTCTTAAAATGGGCCATGAGCGTATTTTATGAACAACTTATGTGTACGTTTAGAAGAGTCAATTTTTTTAAATCAGATTTTTTTGATAATTTAGAAATTTTCTGATAATTTAGAAATTTTTTCAAAATCTTTTTAGAAAAGTTTAAAATTTTATGGAATTTAAAAAAAAACGTTTTTCAACTATTTTGAGAATTTGAAAATTTTTGGAAATATTCGATTTTTTTTAATTTTCAAAATATTCTTAAATTTTTCAATCAATCAATTGAATGAAATCAATTTTTTTTAATTTTCAAAATTTAGCTTTTTGTTTGAAAATGATAAAAAAATTCGAAAATTAGAATTTTTGAAACTTTGTTTTTCTTTTGAAAATTGATTTTTTTTTTAATTTTCAAAATTACTAAATTCTCTGTAAATGCATTTTTTGCAAGCAAAATGATTTTGAATTAATCTAATCGGATAATCCGTTCTCTCAAATACTGCATAACCGTTTTTACACCCTTTACGCTCAATACCTCCGAAACGGCAAAATTGCCTTTTGCAAAAACGCCTCGCGATCGAGTACGAACCGAATGATCTCTATTCTTTCTTCTCTTCTATACTCTTCTTTTATCTATGATTTCTATATATGTGTAAGTAAGCAATTATTTCATCCTTAACTGTGCTAGTGCCTATGCTTTGTGTATTAACCAATTTGGAACATACTTTGGTGCTTTCAAAATTTCTTTTAATAACTTGTTTTGGAATCTTTGAATTATTAAAGCATTTGAGTTGGAAGTTGATCCCCAAGGCTGTATCCCGTACGTCCAAATTAACAAAGAGGTAAATTTTATTATGCGTGTCAAGTTTTGATTTTCGTCCGAGGAGCCAATAATATTTTCTTCTGGCTTCTCCAAGCTGCTTTCTCTTTTTCTTAATGTGTTCTTTCCAGGTTAGTCTTTTATCCAGATGTAAACCTATTTATTTGACTGTATCTGTTTGATCTATAATTTCGTTATGCTTCACACATGGTGAATTGCTTTTCATTTGCAATGTTCGATAACGAACGAATAATATGCATTTTGTTGAAAAGTAACTGGTTGCCTGATTGCCATGCTTTCAACCATATACTCTTCTTTTATCTATGCTTTCAACCCATTGTAAAACCAGTTGATTTTCAACTAGTTATTTCGTTGCGATAAAACGGTTGATTCGTTAACGGTTGCAAATAACGAAGAAACGGTTGAAATTAACGGTTTGTTATTTTACCGCCGCTGACGTGAAAAATTAAAGAGAAATGTCAAAGTGTGTAAGCAATTATATTATATTTAAGAAAAACTATTGTTAACATAAATTAATACATATATTAAAAGCATATAACTTTGAAGAAGTCATTGTTAGTTTATTTATAGGAACCAACAAACGCCGAAAATGTCTGAAGAAACAAATTCAAACATAACAATGAAAATTGAACCAATTGAATCTTTTCAAATGGAACAAGAATTTGATGATTATCCTCAAGTGAAACAAGAATTTGATGATTATGAGAATATGCTAGAAAATGATGAAGTGTGTCTACAGCGATTTTTAAAATCTGAAGTTACAATAGACGATGAAATAAAACAAGAAACTATTGATGACCTTGATGCAACTACTAGCACAAACGAAGCAAGTTTAGATCAGGAAACATACAACTCAGAACAACTCCTTAAAAGAAAACAAAACTTGGAGAAACATAAAATTGTTCATAATAAAAACGCTTACATAAATGTGAGGTATGCAATAAAACGTTCAAAGAAAAAAAGCATTAGTAGTACATGAAAGGATCCATACTGGAGAACGCCCTTTTCAGTGTGATATATGTAATAAAACCTTCAGAGAAAAAAAAGCACTAAGGTTTCACAAATGACTCACACAGATCTACACTTAAAATGTAAAATATGCCTGAAAAATTTCAAAACCCAAAAGGCATTAAATATACATGTAAATCATCATACCCAAGAAAATCCTACATGCGAATATTGCAATAAAGCATTTTCAAACAAGGGGAGATTGAAACAACACATAAGGTTACATACCGGGGAAAGGCTCTATAAATGTGAAATATGTGGTAAAGGATTCATTAGGCCGGAGTCGCTGAAAACTCACAAACTAATCCATACTGGAGAGCTCCACCATGAGTGTGATATTTGCCATAAAAAGTTTGCACTATTACATGTCTTGACAAGACATTTGTTAGTGCACAAAGAAGATCGCCCTCACAAATGTGGTATATGCAAAATAACATTTAAACTATCGCATCATTTAACGAGACATTTATTAACACACACAGGAGAACGACCATATAAGTGTGAGGTATGCAATATGGGATTTAAACAATCGGCACATTTAAAAAAACATTCATTTGTGCATACTGAAGAACGCCTTTTTAAATGTGAGACATGTAATAAAGCTTTCAAGGCACAATTTGCATTAAAAAGACATGAATTGACGCATGATTGACACTTAGTAAAGAGTTCTTTAAAAAGAATCCTTGAATTCGCTTTTATTTACTTAATATATTAATAACAATATATGATCAACGCTACTGACATAGATGAACAAGCATAAGTAGATTGCAAACAAGGCCGTTTTGACGTTGCATCAATTTTATTTCTTTCAGCATATCAAAGAGGTCACCACCAACTGTAGCATGTAAATTTACTCTTAGGTTCAATTCTAGATAAGATTTATATAAATATATAATAATAGATAAACAAGTATAAATAGATGGCAAACATGACCGCTTTGATCTTACATCAACTGTAATTCTTTCAGCATTTAATAGAAGTCACCACCAACCGAAGCATGTAAATTTACCTTTAGGTTCAATTCTAGATAAGATTTATATATCATAGAGTTCGCCACCAACCGTAGCTCTCATACCATAGACCTGCCTCCAGGCAGACTTCCATTTAATATTATTATTATTATATGATCAATTGTGACAAATCGGTTTGTTCCTCTGCATGTCGTATGTAATTGTATAATCATGTAGAACTAAATGTTTAATTGTTTTATATATCTTTCAGATTTTTGAAGACTAGTATAAATTGTCTTAAAATGCCTGCAAATGTTGCAGATTGTCTGATTTTCCATCAAATTGTCTAAAAATATTGTAAATAGTCTGAAAATTTTACGAATTGCCTGAATTTGTTAAAAAGTGCCTTAAGATATAATAAACTAACTGTGATCACGTGTTGCTGTGTTATACATATACATAATTAAAAATCTTGAAAAAATGTCGTTTTTTTATATGTAGTTATTATGGTGTAAAATAGCAAATGCTGGTTTTTGATAATTTTTTTGTTCATGTGTTCTATGTAAAATTAGTTGGCAAAACGAGAGGTGCATGGCTTTGCTGCAACACAATGTACTGAAAATTATTTTTTTGAAAAAGCTTTGAAATGTTTGAAAATAAGGTTTTTGAGATTTTTTGAAAAAAACGACTTTCTTGAATTTTTCTTATTGGCCTCGCTTAGTTAGAGCAATTAGCCACCTACATTTTTTTATATTCTATACTATTTCAATATATACCTAATCATCCTATATTCTACATTATTTTGCATATTTTATACTATCTGTTATGGCATTGAACTTGTGTACCAAAGTAACGATACTAGCAATTTGCCTCAAGGCATGATGCCATACACCACTAGTTAACTTTCCGTAGAGTAAGTTATTGTAATTATCCAAAAATCGAAATTGAAAATTTTTGCAAATCTTTACGTTTCGAAGGTTTCTGAGCATTTTGGCATACCTTATCGTTAGAAAAAGAGGATGTGTGTGCGTGTATGTGTGGATACAATTTTTTGTTGACGATTTCGGACGTACGTAATGAATGATTCAATCGATTCCTATTAATAAAAAGACGTTCTGATCAGTTTTTGGCAAAAGTCGGTCCGTTTTTGAGAGAACTAAGCATCCGATTTGAATGATCCAAAAAACATTCAATTCGTAATGGCAGGGAAAAGTGGTATTTAGTTTTTGGCATAGGCAGGTCTAGCCGTTTCGGAGATACGTTGCATAAAGTGTCAAAAACGGTAACTCAGTTGTTAAGAGAACGGAGCGTCTGATATTAATCATTCAAAAAACATTTTATTTGTATTGACAAGATGAAGAGCTGATTGAATTTTTGGGAAGGCAGGTCTAGCGGTTTCGGAGATCTCGTAGAAAAAAGTAAAGAACAACACCATTTGGCGGTCAAAAATGATCATTAGACATATGCACATCAAACTATCAGATATTATATGGTGATTTTAATAATGTGTATCAATTTTGTTTACATTTCTATGGGTTCCGTTAAATCCGTAAGTCCGTTAGATAGCGACGCGGCGCTTGCGCGCTTCGATAGTGCGTCCTTATGCAGTTAAAACAGTGCGATTGCTTTGAAAAAAAGTTCAAAATTTCCAAAATATTTAGAAATAGAATAAAACATTTTTTTCAAGTTTTTTTTTCAAAAAAAGTCATTTTTTAAAAAATTTCAAATTTATCAAAAATCTAATTTTTTTAAGTTTAAAAAAAACTAGTGGGGTGTATGGCATCGTGCCTTAAGGCAAATTGCTGGAACTTACCGTACCGTAACGAAACGTTCGAGAAATTTTGAATGTTTTCAAATAGATTATTATTAATATTGTAACATTGTCTAATATTTATAAGAGTTATATAAACTGAATTGCAAAGTTGAAATTATTTGTTTAAAGTATATTAGAACTATAGTCAGAATTAAAAATAAAATCTGAATTATTTTTGATATACAAAAAAAAATTTAAAAAAAAAAGTTGAATTAAATTTTTTTTCCAAAATCAATTATTTTTTTGAGACAAGCAGAAAGTTCTTTGAATCAGTAAATCGGACGCTTAGTTCTCCCAAAAACTGCCATTTTTTACACATTGAGCTCCGTATCTTCAAAATGGCTGGGCCTGCCTTTGCCAAAAATTAATAAACACTTCTCCCAATCATTACTAATTGAATGTTTTTTAGATCATTCAAATCGCTCCGTTCTCTCAAAAACTCGATTTCTATTTTCTGCACTCTTTGCTCTTTATCTCCGTAACTGCTGGATCTGCCTTTGCCGAAAACTAATCAGCTCATCTCCCTATCAATAGAAATCGAATGTTTTTTGAATCATTCAAATCGGTTGATCCCTGCGACTGGAAATTTGTATCCATACATACATACATACACACACACACACATACACACATCCATTTTTTCTGAGGTATGCCAAAATGTTCAGAAACCTTCAAAACGTCGAGAAATGTAAAAAATTTCAATTTCGATTTTCGGCCCATTAGAATAATTTACCCTACGGGAAGTTAATAATCTTTTGTAAAAAATTTAATTTTTGGTACGGAAAGTTCCAGCAATTTGCCTTAAGGCACGATACCATACACCACTAATTTTTATTAGAGCAGGAGGGCGCGGTGCTAAAAAGGTTGGAAGCCGCTGGGTGACAGGCTGCTGTACTATATGGTTGTCAGGTTGTCACACCTGAGATCACATATTTATTTATCTATGTGTGTGTCAGCTTGTGTCAATAAAACATAAATGTCAAACTCTTTACAAAACTATTATAAATATTTATATTATATTTATTGAAAATTTTAAAAAATATATAGATATTAAATTACTACAAAAATTTTAAGCCATTGTTATTTTGTTTACAAGAACAACTAAACGCCGAAAATGTCTGACGAAACAAATTCAAACTCAGCAATTGAAATTGAACCATCTGAATATAACCAAGTGAAACAAGAAATAGATGGTTTTGAAATAACAGAAACATGTCTAGAAAATGAAGAAATATCTCTATTGCAACCTGAGGTAATAGTTGAGGAAGGAATAAACCAAAAATCGATTGATAAGCAAGATGTAGAATCTCCCATATCTAATGAAGAAATCAGTAAGTCAAGTATTCAGTCCATAAACCGAGCAAATTATATGGATTAGGTAAATGTAAAACAAGCCATAACATGGAACTTTACATATGTGAAATATGCAGCAAACTTTTTCAATATTTGCTAATTTAAAAAACATTTAATAGTACACAGTGAAGAACGTCCACATAAATGTGTGACATGCAATAAACATTCAAAAAGAAAGACACATTAAAACTGCACGAAAGATTCCACAGTAACAAACATTTTCATCTATGTACCATCTGCAATAGAACATTCTCAACAAAACAAATTTAATCAACATTTAATAATCATACTGTAGAACGTCCACATAAATGCAACATCTGCAATAAAGCATTCATAACAGAAACAAAATTAAAACAACATGAAAATGTCCATACTAGAAACGATCGTGTATGTACGGTATGCAATAAAACATTCACAACAAAACAAGATTTAAATCGACATGAAATGATTCACACTGGAGAACGCCCTTTTAAATGCGGAATGTGTGATAAAGCATTCAGAACAAAACAGAAATTAAAAGTGCATGAAATGATTCATACAGGATCAAGTTCCCTCATATGTGGGTATGTGATAAAACGTTTACAGCAATACAATCATTAGTAAGACATAAAAGGAATATTCATGGGGAAGAACGACCTGCTAAATGTGAAATATAAAATTATTCATACAGAACTATATAGGAGATAGATGTCGTACAACTCATAATTAGTTTCAGAATGCTGTATGAATGGTTTTAGGGACCTGAACAGTAACAATGCTTTGGTGGCTGAGAGCAGACAAATGACTAATAAGGGTTAAAGTACATAAAATATCTAAATAATTGATGCAAACACACTGGTAAAAAAATAATGAATATTTGGATATTTGCATTGAAGGAATGAAGTCTTCAGATACTGATGAAACTTAATTATACAGATGATTCTATAACAAAGTATGAAATGTTCATAATTTTAACCGTAGCAAGTTAAGCGCAATTACCCATGATAATTTTAAATGGAAGAGTCTTTCTAAACTTTATAAAAATAGAACAAGTCACTCATTTGAATTTTACTTGGAGATCTTATAAAATATCATTGAAAATTTTTGTGATGACTCATAAAATTAAATAATTAAGTCAATACTTGCAAAATATTGTTCATATACTCAAGTTATCAGAATATACAATGTCATGATTTAAATCAAATTGTTTTAATTTGATTATGTGTTTTCTGATTTTTTTTGCTCCCAGGGGCTGAAATTTGATAAAAAAAATCTCTGAAAGTTTTAGATCTTAATGTTAACTTTAAAGATAGTCTGCACTTCAACCAAAGTTTCTAGGAAAATAACATTGGTAAAATTTCATTTGTTTTATAACTTTGCAACAAATGAATCAAAATTTTGAGAATAACATTGCATTTGCTTATTTTGATCATACATAAAAATTTAGGAACAAAAATTTGATATATTTCATAGAATAAGTATTTACTTGGAAGAAAAACCAAGAAATTTTGTTTGGAGTGCAGACTATTTAAAAATCAATAAGACTTAAAACTATCAGAGAATTTTTTTTTGAAGAATTTGAATTCAATTTTAAAACAAAGAAATTCGAAAATATTCATATTAAGGATCACCCTAATATATATATATATATATATATATATATATATATATATATATATATATATATATATGTATATTAGGGTGATCCTTAATATGAATATTTTCGAATTTCTTTCATATATATATATATGTATATTAGGGTGATCCTTAATATGAATATTTTCGAATTTCTTTGTTTTAAAATTGAATTCAAATGAATTCAATTGAATTTATATATATATATATATATATATATATATATATTATATATGTATATTAGGGTGATCCTTAATATGAATATTTTCGAATTTCTTTGTTTTAAAATTGAATTCAAATTCTTTTAGAATTCTTTTTGAATTTTATATATATATATATATATATATATATATATATATATATATATATATATATATCTTATATATAAAATTCTTCTGTAATGATATGTAAATATACTCCTCTTAAACGATTATTCCGATTTTAATAAATCTTTCTGAAGTTTGTTAAGGGGTTTTTGAGGATGTATGAGATTATAAAAATATAGTAACATTGTAGCAATAAATGGAAAAAATTGCAAAAAATGACATGTCATTGTTTGACATTCAGAATATTTGAGACATTGAAAACAAACGAAAGCTTGTTTGTTTTCAATGCTGAAAATTTCAATTTACTTATGAGATTAGATAATATTGAAATATTTATAATAAATTCATGGTTATTAATAAGAAATTTACCATTAGGTTCAATTCTAGATTAGATTTATTTGAATATATAATATGGAAAAGATAAACCTGATTAATTTGACTAAATGAATAGAGAACAAAATATAAGCGTACAAAATTAATTTTCAACAAAATCACAAATTTGTTGTAAAAAATATACATCTAGAGAGACTATGTTTTAAAACAAACGTTGAATTTGAAGCACACTGGTACCATCTATGATATGCTGAAAACACTCATACAGAGTAAAGCGGATTATAGTTATATATTTACCCCCCATGAAGTAATAATAGACTTAATATTCAGAACTTGAGATTTAGCTATTTAGACAAACTTTATCAATTTAAACAATTTATTGAAATAAGCTTTTGGCTTATACTAAAAACTAATCAAAGCAATTTTCAATTATGTTTTAAACAACACATAATATCTACAATTATGATTAATTATAGTAATAACCAAAGAACTAGAATAAATATTCTTAAGTATTATTTATTTGCAATAAATAATAATTACAAAACTAAGAAAAAATTCTTGTAGCATTTTTGAAATTAAATTTGTATTCTCTCTGGTAAATATTTTGTAAAAAGAAGTTCAATATCTTAATGAGTTGATTCATGTTCTTTTAATGACTGTTTACTTTTGTATGTTTTGCCGCATGTCCCACATTGATAAGGGCGCTCTTCGGTATGGGAAATATTATGTTGTTTTAATTTTGATTTTGTAGTAAAGGCTTTATTACAAATTTCACACGTATGAAGAGAGTTTCCAGTGTGAATCCTTTCATGCAGTTTTAATGACTGCTTTCTTGTGAATTCTTTACCGCATGTCTCACATTCAAAAAGCATTTCATTATGGATAATTAAATGCTCGACTAATGCTTGTTTTCTTAAAAATATTTTACTGCATATTTCACACGTGTGAGGGCTTTCTCCAGTATGTAGTAATTTGTGTGCTTTTAATGTGTCTTTTCTTGTAAATGTTTTGCCGCATGTCTCACATTCATAAGGACGTTCTCCACTATGGACTAGTTTATGTAAGTCCAACGATTGCTTGGTTAGAAATGCTTTGTCACATATTTCACATTTATGTTGTCGTTCTCCATTGTGTACAAGTAAATGCGTACGCAAATAGCTTGCTTGAGTAAACTTCTTATCGCAGATTTCACATTTATGAAGACGTAATCCAGTGTGAATTATTTCATGTTTGGTTAATAGATGCTTTTTTAGAAATATTTTGTTGCATTGTATGCATTCAAAACCTTTTCCAGTGTGGATCCTTTGATGTAACCTTAAGTCGCTTTTTCTTCTGTATGATCTATTGCATGTTTCACATTTATGAGGCTTTCCTTCAATATGTACAGCTCCATGTCGATTTAAGTATTGTTTTTTTGTGAATGTTTTGTCGCATATTTTACATTTATAAAGTTGTTTCGAATTATAGCTTGTTTGATCTTCACTTGTGCTAGTGGAGGCATCTTGATCATCAATCGTTTCTTGAATTATTTCTTCCTCTACTTTTAACTCAGTTTTTAAAAATAGATGTGGAGATGATTCTTCGTCTTCCGAGCATTCTTCTGATATATCATAATCATCAAATTCTTGTTTCACTTGAGGATAATCATCAAATTCTTGATTTAACTTGAGGATATTCGATTGGCTCTATTTTAATTATTGTTTCTTCAGACATTTTCTGAAGCTTCTTGAAATTTCGCAAGGCACTCAATTAATGCTACTTTTGATAATAATTTGATACTCAATTTACATAACATCACTAAAAATATGTTTTGATGTATATTTATAACAATTTTGCTTAAATTCAATCTAATTTCATAACCCACTTTGACATTTCTATTTCCATAGACAAAAGATGTATATATATAGATCACTAAATGTCAAACGTTTTGTCTCTCGACAGGCAGAGGCGCTCGAGTCGTAATACACATAGATAAAAGAAGAGTATGCGCACACAATATTATTATCATAGATAATTAACATAATTATTATTATGCAAAATATTTATTATGCAAATTCAGATCGTTTGAATAAAAATTGATAAAACAAATAGAAAAACTAGTGGTGTATGGCATCGTGCCTCAATGCAAATTGCTGGAACTTCTTGTACCGTCACGAAATGTTCGAGGAATATTTTCGGGAGTTCGGGTTTTCAAATGGAATATTAAACGATTTCAATTACTGTAACTTATATATGTTTACAGAAAAGTAAATAAACCAAACTCAATCACTCAAATTTGAAATAAGACATTGTCTAATATTTATAAGAATATAAAAAACGTAACCAGGATTGAAATTAAAATCCGAATTATTTTCGATATATACAAAAATATTTTTTGTAAATGAAAAAAAAATAATAAAAAAAATGTTTCAAAAGCAATCGTTTCGCCAAAACAAGAAAAAAGTTTTTTGAACCATTCAAATCGGATGCTTAGTTCTATTGAAAATGCAATTTTTGCACATTTTGCTCGGTATTTCCAAACCGACCTGACCCGCCTATGCCAAAAACTAATCACCACTTCTCCCAATCATTACTAATTGAATGATTTTTAGATCATTCAAATCGGATGCTTCGTTCTCTCAAAAACTCAATTTCTATTTTCTGTATTCTTTGCTTCATGTTTCCGTAACAACTGGACCTGCCTATTCCAGAAACTAATCAGCACATCTTCCTATCAATAGGAATCAATGCTTTTTGAACCATTCAAATCGGTTGATCCGTGCGCGCGGAAACATAGACGAAAAATATAATCCATACATACATTCACACACACATTTTTTTCTAACGTATGCCAAAAGATTCAGAAACCATCAAAACGTAAAGATATGCAAAAAATTTCAATTTTGATTTTTGGATGATTGCAATAACTAATACCCTACAAAAAGTTAATAAATAAACTAATCTTTAACTACCTGTCAACAGTGTCAACGGTCTATTTATGAATATTTCTATTTGTATATGAATCAATTAATAGTTTGGAAAGTTCATATTTGACCAACAATTGTTATTTTTTTAAAAACAATCTGCATTTCTGATACCGCTAACTAATCATCATGACTCGACGTCAACACGAATCAAATGTCTTTTGAATCAGTCGAATCGGTTGATGCCTTCTCTCCAAATCGTCGACCAAAATTTGCATCAGCACAAAATACACACAGCCAAACACATATGCACACGTATATCCACACCATTCAGAAGGTCTTGAAACGTAAAGATATACAAAACTTTCATCATTTATTTTTTCGCGATTATTATAACACACCCTACGGGAAGTTAAAAAACGTGGCTGAACCGATTTCAAAAATTTAAAAACCATTATGTTAAGGTCAAAAAGAACTTGCGTTGGTTACTTTGGCGACCTCATCGTCCGAACTTGTTCCTCAGAATTAGCATAAAAATGCAGATACAATCGAAATTCAAGTTTTTAAAAGAAAAATCCTGAACTAATTTTGAGAATTAAAAAACTGTTCGAAAGGCATTAGTCGAGATATAGTTTTTGATAAAGATTGGCCGGGCTATTCCTTCTTAATTAGATGTTGAATCTTTTTGACGTTACTTAATGAAGCTTTTTTTATGGCAGAGATCATGGACTTGAAAACATACTAAAGAATTATAAGCTTACAACCTGTGTTTTAATTTTAAATAGTTTGAAAAGCTAAATCTCACTACTTATTAATTAAGTCGATTATTTACTCGTATTGAGAAGTTCTTACATCTTGACCTAAGGCAAAATAGCAATTATACCTAGGTACCATAGGTCTTTTATAAATATATTAATATATTCGTAAAACAACTTACTGCAAGTTGGAAACAAGACTGTCAACATGTTGTTCAAATTTTGAATTCTTGTATACCATTCGTTCACTCATAATTGTCTTCTATCGTGTGGGTTCCATAAAACAACTAGTGCACTGGAAGAAAAAATAATTGAATAAAATATTCAAAAATAAAATCAAGGATAAATATATTCAAGAATTATTGATTCGAATATATCTTTAGACAGAAAATATCTTAACCAAATTGAAACTAGTGGTGTATGGCATCGTGCCTTAAGGAAAATTGCTGAAACTTTCCGTACCGTAACGAAATGTGTTTTCAAACAGATTATTATAAATTCTGTAATATCGTTTAATATTTAAAAGAAATATATAAACTGAATCACAAAGTTAAAATTATTCACTTAAAGTATACAAGTGAGCTTTAGAACTTTAACCGGAATTAAAATTGAAATCTGAATTATTTTCGATATTCAAAAAAAAAAATAAATAAAAAAAAATTGAAATGATTTTTTTTCCAAAAGCAATTATTTTGTCAACACAAGCAGAAAGTTTTTTGAATCATTCAAATCGAATGCTTATTTCTCTCAAAAACTGCAATTTTTTGTACATTTAGCTCTGTATCTTCTAAATGACTGG